TCTATTTACCAAAATATTATTCAAAAAACATTCATCATGATCATTGTCACATTGGCAATCTTGTCGAGCTTGATATAATCGACTATATTCACCTGTAAATTTAGACATTGATGATGCGTCACAATCATCCGCTATAAATACATATATAAGTCATCTATAATGTTTGTTTTTTTTTGTTTTTAAAAGTTTAATCTTACATTCAAAACCTAATGGGCATGGATTAGGTGGGTCACAATATGATGGTAGTTCTTCATCAGTTTTAACTTCAAGACGATTTGGTATTTGACCACTAGGACTAAGATGTTGTCGACCTTCGCCTGCTCCACCTAAATATAAAAAATTTTACATAAAATTTATTATTATTATTATTATTTTAAATATTTTGATTATTACCTGATACATATTTATAACCGGTTATAAATGGACTATGTATTTCTTGTTCTTCATCACGTGTTAATGCACTTAAATATTGATCAGAATCATCATCAAATGTTGTATCAACATTTGATGATGATTCAGCATAATCAATCCAATCTGTTCCTTGAATATGTTTACACATAATCAAAATTAATATTGCTGTTATGAATGTTGATAAACTATACCACATGATTATTCTGTTTTTTTTTTTTATATATGTAATGTTTTCCCCAACAGTGTGACGAAGGGCATGAACAGAATAAAGTGGAAATTAGCAGAACAACCTATTTTTCTTCGTCTTTTTTCTTCGTCGTTTTTGCCCTTTCTTCCTATCATAGTCTGAAGCCCTTTCAATATAAAAAAGCAGAAATTTCTTCTTTTTTTTCTTCTTCTCGATTCTATGTGAGCAATGAATGTTTTCATATAGGGGATGTATGAACGGCCTAACAATGATGGAAAAAAACTCTTTCTTCAAATAAACATAACATGCAATGAGGATCAACGGATATGGTTATGGAAGAAATCGGAGATGAGAGAAAAATAAAGCAAAAGAAAGATCGTGTAAACTAAAACGTACATTTGATGAAACTATCGATTTCAAATGTTTTAAAATATTCGAAAAGGAAACAAAAAAAGAATATCTTGTTTTTTTACTAAAATTTTGATTATTAAATCATTTGAAATGAAAGTTTTTTTTTTTTTTCTAAAATAAATTAAGAAAAGATTTTTATAATTCATTTTTTTCTATCTACTGCCAATTTTCTGATGAAATAAGAATTTTTCAAATATCAACAAATATAGACAATCATCAAAGCATTTGTGTGATGGTTCGAAATTTTTTGCTATTTATAAAATGAAATATACGTTCTTAAGTCGATAGTTCAATTGGAAGTCACACAATTGAGATATATGAAGTTACAATTTAAACAATAAGTAATTTTACAATGAAATATTAGAAAAATAAGGTCAATGTATGAGGAAATGATATGTTTAAGTAACGAGACTAATAATATTTGAAACCTTCAGGATCAGTATCAGTAATATTTAACGTAAAGATACACTAATGGATAGATTACAAGGTAAACCTATCAAAGTTATTGTAATCATTGTAAAGTGAAGGAAAAAAGTTTATCGTTAATCAACAGTCACTGGAAGGTGTCTTATACACCGTTTAGTGTAGAATTAAATGGACTACATTTTAGTATAAAGCATTAATTCTGATATTAAAATATGAATCAATTATTAGTTAGTGATAGTTCAAAAAAAATAATTAATAAAGATTCACTTTGTTTTCACAATTACCAGGTATTCCATGAGAAAGAGCATTAAAAATTAAAGAAAAGAATGTAATTATTATTTCAAAATAGATCATCTTCATGAAATTTTTAGAGTATTTTCAGTTTTAATTACTCATTGCTTAGACAGTGACAACGTATCGTTTTTAAGAGTCCTGCTCTTAAAAACATACTAATTTTTCCAGATTTAACGTTCTATTTCATAGTTGATATATTTTTTCAAGTAATGAGCATTATGACCAGTTAAAAGTGAAAACCTTATTAATATGATTTAACATATGATGCAAAAGTAATGAGATAAATGTCAGATCATATTTCTCTTCGATAGAAAGGTACTGGAAGAAAACTTTATCTATCACAAGATACAGAATTTTTTTTTCTTTCGAATTGTATATGACTTATTTTTATGGATCATTTTGTATAGCTTCCTGTACTTTTTTTGGCTCTCTTTTAAAGTGTTTCCACATTTTTTTTTAATAATAACTGATGTTGTTTTTCGTAAGTTATGACTGATTGTTGATTGATTTAATTTTTGATTAGAAAGTATTACTGGACGGCAACCCCTTGGTAATAAATTTGATTTGTTCTATATTTTAAACATTTGTTTAATATATTATAAATCGCTGTTCTTAGAATTTCTTGCTTTATAAAATAACAAACAGTTGTTTTACACAATTTATTTTATGAATCAATATAAAAATTACAAATTCGTTCTACGCGTGCTTATCTTTCTATTCATGTCATTTTGTTTATGAATGCATAATAAAATTAAGTTATATATGTAGTTTGAAAGAGAAGAAAGTTCTCTATCTTTTGATAAATAACATTTTCTTTCAGCACTTTTCTATCTAAGAGATATAGGATCCGACATTCGTTCCATTACTTTTTTATCGTATGTTATCTTGAGATAAAAATTACATCATTTTGTTCAACTTTTAATCCTCTTTCTCATAGGATATCTGATAGTTGAAAAAATAAAACGAAGTTTTATTAATTATATATTAACTACTACTGACTAATAATTAATTAATATTTTAATATCAGAATTGATGCTTTATACCAAAATGTAGCCCGTTAAATTCTATACTGGATGGTACATAAAACAGGATTCAGTGACGATTGGATAATAAAAACTAAAATATCCGTTCTCTAAAAATTGTTTGCATTTCAGTTTTGTACGACACTTTGAAAACCACTATTTAGATCTCTTCCATAAGTTGTCCTTTTGGAAGAATTTAAAGAATACCGATAATCAATCGGTAGTAGTTTGATACTTAAACGGTTGACTATCTCCTAACCATCATTCTACCACAGCATACCAGTAGTTGTTTTCCGATCGGCAATCTACTATTGGTAATTATACGCACCCCGATATACTGACAGTAGTGCGAGTGTGCAATATGCGTAGTTATATAATATACTATTAACATATAAATAAATTTAATTGTTTCATCCTTAAATTCAATAATGAGATTGTTTTTATTATCTTAGTTTTAATTATAAAGTAAAATTTTGGATAAAAATGAGAATTTCACAGATGTACGTTAAACTAAAATACAAATGAACAAAAGAAACATTACAATTACTAACAAAACTTGATTTTTCGTTTTTCTTTTCTCGTTATTGTCTCAAATATACATTGGTAGTAAAATCAGAATTATTTTTTCTTCAAAATCATATACTCCCATAAAAACAGAATTAATCGTCGGTAATACAGGAAAAAAAGAATAATTGTTGTATACAGTACAATGCTGAAAAGTAGTTATGACAGTTAGAAATTTCATTTAATATTGTATTATGACATAAGAATAGTTTTTATATTACAAAACAATAGTTATCTGAATAATCGACTTTGATTAGCACAACATCTCATCTGCTAGTTACTTGCAAATTTTTCAGTTTTCTTATTTTTGGATATTGATTTCGATGTAATAATAAAACAATTTGACGAAAAATCATAATAAGCTACAACAAAACAAATAAAATCAACGAATGTCATTTAAATTTTTACGTGATTAATTAATTTGTAAGTTTACATGGGAATGTCTCTACGTGTCCGATCATTTTTTCATCAAGACTATATTCAAGTAAAAGACCATGGTGAATAGTGTAAAAATTTACGAGGGTTTAATTGTCTGAACTAGAGAGCTGCGGGTCCTTCCAGACTCGGTCCCGACCGGGTCCGGGTCCGGGTCTAAACCTAAGAGGAAAGTCAGACCCGGTCTGCATTAAGTTATGAATGGAAATATATAACAATAATAACTGAAGTTAACAAAACTGAAAAAGAAACAGTCAGAAATAATTTTACACATTTGACCTTTAAAGTCTCCAATGAAGAGCTAAAATCGTGTTCCCTTTTCTGTTCATGTACACATAGGGTGTCAAATATTGGTGAAAAGAGGATCGGGTCTAGACTCAGCCGGGTCCGGGTCTGAAAATTTAGTTTTTCCGGGGCCCGGGTCCGGGTCCAAAAAAACATGGACCCGCAGCTCTCTAGTCTGAACCTTTGTTCTTGAGATATTGAGTTTTAATATAAAGTTGTGATCCCTCTTCAGGTCATCATGAACATAGAGATACATCTTGATAAGAATAGGCACAATCAAAAAGTCTTAAATCTTCACAATAAGCTATTTTCGTTAAGATCTGTCTCTGTGCACAGTTTCAAATCGAAATTCAAAACTGCTAAAAAACACACTATCTCAGCAGCAATAAAACATTAACTCGAACTCTATTCATAGCTTATTCGCATGTATATGATGCACAGTCTCAACTTAAAAGCGATTGAACACTTAAAGACGTTTCTTCTTTCGTTGAAACTTTCCTTTAAAATTTAAAAAAACAATATTCATTTAAATCCAATGAACTTGAAATCAATATTGATTTTTTTTATTTCATGGATCTTAGAAAACAAATCTGATGTATAAAGTTTTCATAAAGTCTTTCGTTTATCACTCGTACATAGGCAAATACACACATACAATAAACATAAAGGAAATGAATAAAGAAAAAAAAAAGGAAAAGACAACAGGTTAATTTGTCTCACTTACAATTCAAAAGAAAAAAACAGAAAAAGAAAAAAAAAAGAAATTTTTAACTTTATATACAATATCATCTCAGTCTGACTGGTTGATGAAACAGATTAGTATTATGTTTTTTTTTACATAATTCTTTGTTTCATTTGGCTCTGAGAAGGTGTCTGAAGAAAAAGTTCAAGATGAAAATCTGTTTTAGTTTTTTTTTTTTGTTCAAAATAATAATAATTCCATAGCCATAATTGATTTTGTGTTTTTATCGACGTGATCGTGATGAACTCGAAGGTGGTGGCGGCGGTGATCTTCTTCCTGGACGACGAGACGATGATGATCGTGGTGATGATCCATAACGTCCAGATCCATTACGTGATGATGGTGGTGAAGCAGCATAACGACTAATGTAAGATTATATAAATACGTAGAACGATATGTTCGATATTCTGTTCCTTTATTTATTTATTTATTTAGTTTTCATTCCTCTCTCTATTGTTTATATACAAGTCTCATGAAAAATAAAGCAAATCGACCAGATTTTCCATTTATTTATACATACGAACTTAACGTAATCTTTTGTTTATAAATATCTTGCTTACCTTCGTGGTGGTCCCATTGAATTCGGTCCAGATGGATATGGTGCGTAGGCATCGTAAGGAGACCTGAAACGGAGTACGACCAATGGGGACGTTTGAACGAACGAATATATATATATATGGAGAGAGAGAGAGAAATAGACGAGATTTGAATATAGAAAAAGAAGGCCAATAGAAATCGACGATTTTCGATATAAAACTCTTTCTTTTTCTCAAATTCTATTATGTACGAATAACGACATACCGCATCGGTGGTCCACGTCCATAATGATCAGCCATTGGCATTGGTGGTCCTCGATGAGGATAAAAATCATCACGACCATACGGATCAACACCACCACTACGCATACTGTACGGATCACTACCAGGACGACTGTACGGATCAGGATAATTCATTGGTGGTAAATGTGGTGGTATACGTTGACGTTCATAAGGTGAATCGTACGGACGAGATCGTGCGTCCATGTAGCTATTACGCATACTCGGATACGAGCGATCGGGACCGCCGCCACCTGAATAATTACCATTACGACCTGATGACATAAGTGGCATATCGCGATTTCTTAAAACAAAAATTTATTCATACATTTAAAAATAAATTCAACTAACCGTGATGATCGCATCGGCACTGAACCTGAATCATAACGTGGTGATTCTCCTCGACGACTATAGTTTAGAAATATATAAAATAAAATTTCAAAAAGAAAAAAAAACATTCTAGACGTTCTTACGATGGACGACCCGAATTTCGAAGTTGAGTTGTTGATACCTATAAAATAAAATCAAAATTAAAAATCAAACTCTTTAAAATCAATACATACTTCAACTCTAATACGACTTCCTTTTAAATTAAAATCATTTAAAGCTGCTATAGATGCTTTAGCTTTACTTGCATCTTCCATATGCTAGAAATAAATTAATATAGAAATATTTTATTTAATAAAATAAAATACTTACAACAAATGCATAATCTTTAACAATGTCACATTCAAGTACTTTACCATATTTTTCAAATAATTCTTTTAATTCCGTTGAACTTACTGTTGGAGGTACATTACCAATATAAAGTTTTGTTGGCATTGTTTTATTGACTAAGTGAAAAAATAGAACCAAAAAAAAAAAACAAGAAGATTGAAAGTGATATACAATCTATAAAAAATAAAAAAAAAACATCATCATTACTTATATATAACGTTTGAGACAAAAACTTATATGATGAACTTCTTCTTGTAAAGAAAAAAGAAAAACAAACCAATCAAATTGCGTCATTTTATATTTTAGTCAGCCATGTTGATCAGAATAGAAGCTTCTTTTTGATTGAATCTTTTTTTTTTTTGTCTAATAAATTATTTTGCACAAAGAAAAAAAAACAATTATATTTTAATAAATGAATATAATCGAAATATAAAATTATAGAAAAATAATTAATTGAAATGATTTGAACAGAGGACGCCTTATATCATGAATCTTAATTTGTTACTTATGAACCAATATGGAATGAGAATTTAATTAATAATTCCAGTCAATGAAATTAATTTATTTAAAATTAATTTTCTTCTAAAATATAAGTTAAAAAAAAAACCTCAAATCTTTAAATTATCAATAGTAAACATCAATCAATTTATACATTGCATCAGCACATTTTACCATTTTCTATAATATCTATTCGAATTTAGCAAAAGACTTTTTACGACACAAGTTCACTTTAATCACACGCTTTGTACTCATCGACGTAATTTACCCACGTAGTACGATGAGAGAGTGAGGGTGATGTGATAAATATGAATAAAGTGCAGTTGTTGCTTTATAATTAATTTTTGTTTTTTAGATGTCCTGGTTATTTGGTTATAGAAAACCGGTATCAAATCTTCCACCTCAAGGTTCCGGTGGTGAAGATTCATCTTCATCTAGTAGAAATGAGAATGAAAAATCATCAGGAGGTGCTATTGATTCTAAAACTTTCGCTGGTCATGAATCTATCTATAAATTTGATTCAAGTGCTCTTGAACGAGCTGCACATGCAGCAAAAGAACTTGAACGTTCACGTAAGACCTATCATTTTATTTTAAACATATGTTTTTTTCAAAATTATCTTCTATTCAAGAATATGCTAATCAAGCATTTGATGTTGTTAAAATGCAAGAACAAACGAAACAACTTGAAATACAAAAGCAAATGAAAGTAAATACTCATAATTAAAATGAATAATATGTTAATGTCTAATGAAGGCAAAATCTTTGAAAATAGGACATAACCATCTTCAATTTGACTTTAATTCTGTTTAAAGGTTAATTAAGATTTGTACAATTTAGAATAGATTTTTAAATTTCTCATTCGAATACAATAGGATTTTTCGTTTCTATATTCGTATTTATTCACATCGTTAACAACAAATAAAACTCAATTTTTTGAAAAGTCTACGCATGTTCAAGAAAAATTTTTCATACAGATTTTGCTGTCTGAAGAATTCTTTACAAAACCCACTATATAGTTTTTGACAAAAAACCTCTTTGAATTTGCTGCATTTGCAAATGCACTCAGTGAAAAAAACCTTTGTCCTCTATTGTGTCGTATCGCTCACGCTAGCTTTTCAATAATGATTCGGCGAAACCAAGCTCTATAGGATTGACAAAGGAGTCTCTTCAGGTGCTCTCTTTCGATTTCAAAAATTTTTAAACTTTTAAAAAATGCGTGTCATAGGCAAACAAAAAAATCATTGAAATCGAAAGGGATCAGCTGAAGATGTTCCTTCATGAGTTGTATAAAATTTATCTAAAATCTTGATTCAATAGGAATATTCTCAACATGAAGAAGAAATTCGTTTTAAACATCAACAACAATTAAATGAAGAAAAACGACGGATGATGAATGACGAAACTCATCATCAAAATGAAGTATAAATTTTCAATTAATCATTTTCTATTATTAATAGTCATATTTCTAGAGAGCAAAATTTCAAGATCAATTAGCACGTAAACGAATGCAAGATCAAGCTGGTGAACAAGTACTATAATATATTTTTTTGTCCTCCATACGATAATCATGATTCTTTGACATTTAGGCTCGTTTACAAGATGAAGAACGTCGTCGACAAGAAGAATCAGTTCGAAAACAAGAAGAAATGAAACAACGTTAGTTTGTTTTTTTTTGTTTTCTTGGAAAATATTTCTTCATTAATCACTTACAAATCATTATTATTATTATTAATTTTTAAGGTTCAATTGAATATGCTGAACAAGTTCGTCATCAATATGAAATGAAACGACTTGAAGCTGAATTAAAAGGCAAAGCACAAATCGAACGAGAAAATCGTGAAATTTATTTAGAACAAATTAAACTTAAAGCTGAAGAACAACGTAAAACTGTTCTTGAAAGTATTAAAACAGCAGGTAGTGTTGTTGGAACTGGTATAACAACTTTACTTGAAAATCCAAGTAAAATTCTTATGGCTGTAAGTTTTAATTTAACTTATTTCATACGAAAGAATCATTTCATTTTTGATTTTTTCATAGACTGGTGGTATTACTTTATTAGCACTTGGTGTTTATTCAGCACGTGGTGCAACTCAAACAGCTGTTAAATATCTTGATTCACGTCTTGGTAAACCATCATTAATACGTGAAACATCTCGAACAACATTATTTACTGTATTTCGTTCACCAATAAAAACAATACGACGTTATTTTTTTACTAAAGCTGAAGATTCATTACAAGGTGTAGTACTTGATCCAACACTTGAATCACGTTTACGTGAAATAGCTATTGCAACACGATTTACAAAACGAAATTATGGTTTATTTAGAAATTTACTTATGCATGGACCACCGGGTACAGGTAATTGAAATAAAATAATTTTTTTTTTTTTTTTGTGCTTTGAGAAAATAAAAAAAACCTAATTTTTTGTTCATAGGAAAAACTCTATTTGCTAAAGTAAATATTTTATTTAATCGTAGATTAGTTGTATAGAAAAAAGAATTTTTTTTTGTTTTTATTTTTACTAAATAGAAATTAGCAAATCATTCTGGTCTTGATTATGCAATAATGACAGGTGGTGATGTAGCTCCATTAGGTCGTGAAGCAGTTACAGCTATACATAAAGTATTTGATTGGTCACAAACAAGTCGTCGTGGTCTTTTATTATTTATTGATGAAGCTGATGCATTTTTACGAAAACGTGCAACAGAAAAAATTGGAGAAGATATGCGTGCAGCATTAAATGCATTTCTTTATCGAACTGGTGAACAATCTAGTCGGTAAGTTAAACAAAAAAAAATAAAAGATACAAAGTTTTAACCGAAAAATTCTCTTCTCTAATGTCTTTGTATACAGATTTAATCATGAAAATTTTAATTAAGAAAAAATCAGTAAAAAAAAATTTTTAAAATTAATTAGTCAATTAAGTATAATATATAACGGAAGATTTTCCATTATTAGAAATAGAGTTCATCGAGTTCAAAATTATCAGACTCAATCGAGTTCAAGACCAGGCCTGGCGGCCTCTATTTAGAAAAGAGCATTAAATATAATCCGGCGGAATTAAAGCTTTCACTAACAAATTTAAAATATGAGCCATCTATGACGTGCATTGAACGAGATAATGGATTTTTTAGATATTTAAAATATGTGTAGGATGCCCACAAGTGAAAATTTTAATACTATTTATTTTTCTTTTTTCGTGATGATTGAATAGAGCTCGTTGAGATGCATAAGAAAAGGTATATTTCAAACTAAGAAACAAACTTTAAAAGATTTTATAAAAGTTAGAATGTTTTTTTTTTTGGTCTATTTGAACATAATGGTACTTTGCATCTTCTTCATTAATTTTTTTTCCAAATTTGAAACATTCCTTTTTCTTATGCAACTCGACGAACTCTTTTCAACCATTACAAAAAAAAAAAAAGAAAAATAAATGATATTAAAATTTTGACTTGCGGGTATCTTCACATGTACTTTAAATACCTAAAAAAATTCATTATGTCATTTGATGCATGCCATGAATAGGTTCATCTTTTAAATTTTTTTTTAGTTTGACAGTACGATCTTTAATTTGACTCGAATACGCTTAATGGTTTTTTTTATCAACAGTACAAAATTTTTCATTGTTAGTAAAATAATACTTGATCGATTGAAAATATCTTCTGTCTTTAAAAAAGAATGTTATGCAATGTCAGAAATCTTAAAAGATAGAGAATTATTCTTCATTAGAATAAGTATAGAACATATTACAAAAATCTATTTTTAACAAGGCTAATATCATTCATCTCATCATATAACTCGCAATTTATTGCGAACATCTTTTACTGAAGCATATAACAATTTCCTTGACCTTTTCCCTTAATTCTTCTCTTATCGAACAATCATTTGACAAAGTTGTATATACATTTGTTAGTCTGTTGATGACGACTGTAGAAATTTCAAAATATTGAATTTGAATCTAAGTCGATCTTTCAGACGAACAAAACTTAAGTTTGCACGAAGAAAATTAACGTTTTTTTGTTTTTTTTTGTAGTAATAGTCTTCTTTATTGCATATGTTATATTATCGCTCTGTTTATATAGAATAAAAAGCAAGATTGTTGTGTACGAAGTGATATGGGAATCAAAAGTTTTAGAACAATCACTCAGGAATTATCAAGTCCTGTTGTCCATAGAAATCAAAAAAATTGACAGTGCATCTTACCGGAAATTCTCACTGATGACAAATGTCTTTCAGCAAATTAATTATCAGTATAATATTGTATAGAGACATGTTTGTTCTTACATTTGCTGTATGTAAAATAATTTCAACTTCTACTCTGGATAATTTTTGGAGCGCTAAAGTTTGTTCAAAAGTCAATTTATAGATCTCGAAAAAAATTAGCTTATAACTCTTTATATCAGAAGTTTCAGAAAAGTTTGAAATCATATTTCAAAAAGAATACAAAATTTTGATTTTCAATCAATGTATTTTCAAATTTCTTGAAGTTCCTTGAAAAGAAAATGAAAAATAAATGAATATTTTGTCAAATTACTTTTCAATAACCTATTGAGTTTTAAATTCTTACTGTTTCAATAGGATCAATTTAAAAGATGAATAGTACATAAATCATTATTTGTTTTATAATATTATTTCTTTTTTTGTTACTATACTTCATCGATTATGTTTCTTGCTGTTTTTGATGAAAACGAGGATTACTATTGAAATGTTTTTTAGAATTTTTTCGACCGGTTAATTCGATTTTTTTGAATATTTGTTTAATGTATAATAGATGAAAGTTATTTTTTTTCCGGTTGTTTAGCTTCAAATAATTTTCCAGTAAGTTTTATGAAATTACAGAAGTTTCTCTTTTTTTCTTATACAATCATTATTCATCTCATATAGTGACAGAATGTAGTGTCTCATATTCAAAAGTGCATAGAGCAAACAATCAACTGATCATATGTCTTTATGGTCGAAGCAGAATAAGCGATTTTTTTTCTTCTGCAGACTTCTGCATCACATATTAATTGTTCTGCCAAGAGCAAGAAAGAGAGAAAAGTAAAAAAAACACAGTTTGGTTAATCGATTATTCTTCGTTACCCTTTTTTTTTCTGTTACAATCAAGGACATGCTAATAGGAAGATTAAATGTATTGATACGCGATTGCATAATTATTTTTCGATAAATCTTAAAATAGTTAATTCTTTTCTTTTTTTTTTGTTTTTGAAATAGAATTTCTTATATTAATCTAACTCTTGCCTAATAATTTTGATAAAGTCTATATGATTTATTCAGTGAACTATGCATTTTTCTCAATTCCGGAAAGATTTATTTCCGTTAAAGAAAATCATTTTCTTTCTTTTTTCCGTTATGAAGAAACGGTGACACATTTCCTGCATATACTTTCGATATGGATTGACAAAATCAATTTTAGTTTTTTTTTCTTAATCAGTCTATCAAGCTTTTTTTTTTTTCTTTTCTATTACATTGATTAAATCCACTATAGTAAGAGAACAGTTGATTATGGAATAACATTAACCAAACAAGCAAAAAAAAATATATTCATCTATCGTCTCATTCTCTATTTCTAATACTCTGTGACTTCTAAGATTCCTTAGAATATATGTTTTGTTGATCGACTTAAACATAAAATATCATATATGATTTCATGAATCCATCAAGTTATATTACTTGTTTGTCAATGAAACCTTATTCTTTTTTTTTTTTTTTTTTGTGAATACTATTTCTTTGATAGTTTTATGCTAGTATTGGCAAGTAATGAACCTGAACAGTTTGATTGGGCTGTTAATGATCGTCTTGATGAAATGGTACAATTTAATTTACCAAGTTTAGCTGAACGTCGTCGAATGACTTATCTTTATTTTGATACATATATTTTAAAATCAGCCGAACGTCGTCGGTAAATTATAATTATAAAGAAAATAAAATCGAAAGATTTCTTTTTATTTTTAGTCCAATTAAAATTGGTCCATTTGATTTTGAAAAAAAATGTGAAGAATTAGTACAATGTACTGATGGATTTTCTGGTCGTGAAATAGCTAAATTACTTGCTGCTTGTCAAGTTCGCTTATCAGTTGATCTTCTTTTACAATATAAATTATCTTTTTTCTTTTTAGGCATCAGCTTATGCATCTGAAGATGGTACATTAACTGAAGAGATGATCGATAAGAAACTACGCGATGCACTTGAAAGTCACCGTAAAAAAGTCGAATGGCGTGCAGAAGAAGAACGTTAAAAAAAAGAATTTTTCTTTTCTCTCGTCATAGCATTTTTTTAGGCTAATTTTCATTTGTTAAAACCAATGATTTGTAACAGTATTTTGTTAAACAGTTGTTTTTTTCGAAAAACAAAATACAAAAAAAAAATAAATAAAAAGAATTAGAATCATCTTGATCTTGATGTGGTCGAGTCCGATTTATATTAATCAGACTTCTATAACTAACTAATCTAATTTCATATACAACAAATATATAACAAACGAATTTAGTAAGTTTATATGAATATATATATATATATATATATATATTGACTTTGCACTCGAACGGACGGTCTTTCGTCGGAGTTTTTCCTGTTTATATAACGAGAAAGAGAAGAAAAATGAGAACTGCACTCCAATAACGATCAGAGAGCGTGTTACACAGTTATGGCAAACAAGCTGAAAAGCCGTTTTGCATTCCACTTTTTTTTTCTTAGCCTTTTTTTTTATTTGCGAGCGCATTCCATTCCGTTCTTTTTGTGTCTCAGATGAATTATGAATTGAACGCAACAACGAACGTTCTCTGCACAATATATGATAAGAGTATAGCAAAAAGAGAAAGAAGACGGTCGATGCACACAAGAGAAAGAGAAGAATTTTTTTTTTCTATAACAGTAGAAAAGTGGAAACAAAACGGCGACATCGAACGAAGAGAGGAAAAAAAAGAGCGGCACGTCATTTCATCTGCTTCTTTTGCTTGCTTCAGTAGCACAAAGCATTGGCCATGGTCATGAACATAGAGCAGCAGGCAACTACTGCTCCAACAACCACAACTAACAATCTAGTGGTAAAAAAAAATAATATTATTTTTTTACTGTGTTTTCTTTTTTTTTTTCTTGCCAATGTTGTCTTAGATGTCATTGTTTAATTATGTATTGAATGAATATTTCTTTTCTTTTTTCTCATAACTTGATTATATGTTAAGCAGATTTGATAAGACGTTTTCTATTTTTTTGAAGAATAATAGTTTTGTTTTCAAACATATTGAAATTCTATATTAAGGACATATATTCGTATATTAATCTATATAAAGAGTCTATAATCCATTTGTTTATCGTTTGGTATTCTATTCTCCTTGGATATGTAAGTCTCATGTGTTCTTGCTTACATCAACTTGAATAATAATATTATAAAAATATTTAATTTTCGAAATATAGAATTTCTTTCAATAGACTAAATATCATACAAAAATCGAAACTAAAAGCATATTTATTGAAGTAAATTATTGTATACTTGAGAATGTTCTTTGTTCTAATAATAACCTTCGTTGAAAAAACATGTAAATTTTGTTCGTTTGTTAATTGATTTATTGTAAAGTTGTCTGTCGATCAAAACACACTCGCTTAGATAGACATCAACAATCGAAACTATATATATATATATATATATATATTCTATTTTAAAATTTCTTTTAAATATAAAATGAATAATATAAATTCATGAATTATAAAACTAACAATGAACTGTGAGACATAAAATGAATGGAAGTTATTTATTTTGCTGGAGGTGATCTGTAGTTTTTCCTTGTAAAATTACCTTGAAAATCACATCCAATGACATAGTATTATTATGAATATAATTTTTACAAAAAAATCTTTTTTCTTTTGTTCAATATATATATTTATAATTAATAATGATAACTAATAGAATGTTAAGATCATATGATGAATTTTAATTTCTGATTTAGAATTTATGTTACTATTGTTGAATCGATTTCCTATGAGCTTCTTATTTGTCTGAAAGAAAAAGAAAAAGGAAACAACTGGGTTTAATCAAATGTCTATAATCGAGTCTGACTGTCACTTCTGACATTTTTTTGTTTTTTTCTTTTATAGAATTAAATCAAGATAAAATAATAGAATTATTAAATAAAATAAGAATAATAACTAGATGTACCAATTTTCAATGATTTATTTTATTTTATTTTTTCTTTTTTTTTATCTATTAATTAGATACGATTATCTCCGACATCATCGGAAATAATACTTGAAATTCTATAGATTGTCTTAATTTAGAATAGAATGAATAGTTTATAATTAATATCTACCATATACATTTCATTTGTATCTTTTATTTTTAATTTATATTGTTATTGACAATCGTCAATATGCAGATTGAATTGTTACGGGTAGTATTTTTATATATATATATATATATATATATATAGATTTGTGTGCGGCATATTACTTGATTGATTGATGATAGTCCTTCGTATAAAATGATTGTATATAAATGTGGGGTCGTCCAATTAGGTGTTTGTCTTGCTGTTTTTTTTCACGCATAGAAAAACCATTATTGCCCTTTTCCAGATGAGTCAATTTTTTTCCTTGTTGGGTCGTTTTCTTTTTTGTTGATGATGTTACTCTATGACATGATCCTCTCCGCATGTGAGTATACTCGTATGCATCGCCTTCTATATCATGTTCTGTTGTTCGCTACATCATCTGCATTATATTTGAAGGATTATTGGCAAGAAAAGAAGTATAGTCGCTTCATTTTGCTATAGGAAAGGAAAGGACACAAAAAAAGAGAGAGAGAGAGAGAATTCGCAAACGAGACATACTAGTAAATAATACTGACATAGAAAAAAGAGAGAGCGATCGTAGCTCAATACATATATACATATGCCAGTCTATTTTTTTCTTTGTCTCTCGTTCTCTATTCTCTTCTACCTTCACTAACTATAAAGAAAGAACTAAATTGTCCGTACTCAATGAAATGTGCGTACACGACATTGTCGATCATTTTTGATGCATTTAAAATATCAACGCTACAGCTTATTCTACGTATTCGAATAGATGACCCACTCGAAATCAACCTCATCAACAGTAAGTGACAATAGCTAATTTAATGCACGCATGCGTGCATTTGTCTATCATCACGTATGTCTCTCATTATAAACGTCTTGATGGAATTTGGACTTAATTATTAGGGGTTTCTCTTTATAATTCAAAGTATACCATTGATATAATTGATTCTATTGTGAAGTATAAGATCAGAATATTTATATTTTAAAATAAAATATTCTTCTCTTTGTTAACCTTCTGCCTTTCAATTTTTTTTTCCTTCCCTATATCTAATGGAATGGAAGAGAAATAATCGTTCGATCAATAGACTTTTTTTTTTCCTGAATATAACCGAACAATAAAGAAAGAGGTTGTAATAAAATTATGTGGGTTATTGCTTGCTACATAGTCATTATTTCCTCTCTTCATCATCACGCTGTATTGTAATATTCATCATCATGCTTCGTCTTTCTCTGACTTCCACTTCAATTGGTTACTTTAGTAACTGTTCGATGTAGCCGGAACATCGTTCCTGAGGTTGTTCACAACAATTCCTTAATCCAACAGGGGAGTTTTAGAACAAAGAGAGAAAAATAGATGAAAAAAAAAAAAAGAAGACGAAGAAACGAAACGATGAAGAAAAAAAAAATCGTCCTGCGACTAGCCGTTGCTTGTCTTGTGTCAATGGATGATTATTAACAATGTTTCAAAGCGTTAAGCAACATCGCTACTCGAACAGTTGAAGAACGGAACGATAGAAAGGAAATACTTGTTTTCCATCGACTAGTTTTCTTTTTTTTTTCATGTCACATCGACTCTTATTACACTTCCAAAGATAATAAAACAACTATTGTTATGTATGTTGACTAGCTAACTAACTAGTTGATGAATAATCTCGTCTGGCATACGAATGTCTACTATATCAACAAAAGAAAATATTAAAGTATCAATAACCCGTCCATCAACAATCAAACTCTCTTCATTATCCGAAACCAACAACCCATATCATCATCATTATCAAGTGAGAATAAGTGTATATATACACACATATATATGTATATAATATATGTGTATGTATGTATATTTTGTCGGCTGTTAGACTATAAATATAGATTGAACTCTTGTGATTTTGGACAATTATGAAATAGATGTACATATAGGTGATATGTTACTTGATATAGTATTCATTTTTATTACATCACATATTCGAGTATACTCACACCTATAACAGAACATTTTGATGACTTCTTTTTTTTATTATTGTCAATATATGAGTAAAAATAAGTAAAAGAGAAAATGAAGTCTTATTATATATATATGTATGTATGTATGTGTATGTATATGTACATTGGTTTGTACAAAAAAAATTTACAAAGCTTTTAAATGCGATCTATTTAATGAGTTCAATAATAGTGTTGTTTTCATGAGCATATCACTAATTCTATTATATGAGAATAGTACGAGAAAAAGTCTGTAGTCTCATCATTGTCATTTGTTTTCTGTTCGCATACAACGTAGAAAAAATATTTCCCATGACGATGTCCATACATAGTTATATGTGCACGCATCACATTTGCATTTTGCATCTCTCAATGCTTCTATATATATATTTATATATATATAATATATATATATATATATATATATGTTTGTGCGGCGGAACAGAACGACGAATCAGTCGAGATTTTCAATGGCTCTTCAAAATAGAAAAAAAAAACCGCTCTCGATAAAAAAAAAAGCAGCAATCTTCATCATGCACTTATAAATAATTGTTCTTAAATCAAAAAAAAAGAAAAAGAATATTAAACAAACATTTTTTTAATATATATATCAATCTTTTATCTTGAATGCCAACAAAAAAAATGAACTAAAATGATTGATTTTTTTTTCTGTTGTATTTTGTCGTTATAACTCATTATCATACAATTGAATATTTAACATTTTGTTTCCTTCATTTTTTCGGAGACAGATGTTGCATTGCATCTTTCTATCGATTTTCTTATAGCACAGACAATTCTTTTTTTTGCTTTCCATCTTTCTTATTCTGTTAGTCGAGCCAGATGTTACACATGCATTTAGTTCAATTTCTTTATGGTAAAAAAAAAAAAAAGAAAAAGAAAAAAAAACGGAAATGCACGCTTTATTAACAAGGAAAAAAAAGTGCGTCCTAACAAAGAAGAGAAAGAATGAAGAACACAAAAATAACACGAGCATTAGAGAAAAAAAATAGTGAAGCGTGTACACTAGACGCGTCCACATGACGTTGATTCTTTGTCTGTCTAGCTGGTTAACGAGCAATGCTGCCACAATTTTTCAGACTTGCTTTTCTTTTTTTATTCTCTCTCTCTCTCTCTTTCTTATTACAATGATTGTTTGCTTCTAGAGTTGCATACATTAAGACGTACATTTCTCTTTTTTTTATTCATCATATTTTAATCTTTTCTTTTCTTTACCTACGACAAATACGAGAAAGGTGTGCGAAAAAGAAACCCATAAATGTCGATTATTCTATTTCGTCCACAATGACTGTGGTATGTGGAAAATTTTTTGTATATATATGTATATATTTTAATCTGATAATTTAACATTTTCTTTTGTTGTTTTAATCAATCAAAAGAACTGAAATATGCATTGGTTTTTTTCCTTTACGCGAAGGACAATATTTATTAGTTTTCATTGACAAATCGTTTTTAACCGTCGGTCATATATCCGCTCTTTTTCTTTTTTTTATAAATACTTATTACTTTAGCTCTATATATATATATATATATATATATATTAGAGTCTACTCAATCAATCAGACGGAGATATATGGTGAACGAATTTAGATAGACGAGAGAGAATATATAAGATAAAGAAAAGGACCGATAGTGATGGGTTCAATTAGTAACCATGCTGTTTCTATTGATTGTTTGTTCTGTTTCCTTTTTTCTTACTACGACCATTCTTTATCCTGCTGTGTTAGTTGTATTTTTGGGAATGTTCTTCTTCTTCTATGTGTTGGTTAGTACTGCAACATACATAAATATACACAATCAAAGCACATATATGTAGTTTTTTTTTTTGTATATATATATATATATATATATATATATATATATGAAACGAGAGGAAAAAAGAAAAAGGAGACACTGGGTGTATCAGCATAAAAGAAAATCGAGAATTATCTTGATTATGCACTAGTTTCTTCTTCTGCTTTTCTTTCATCTTTTCTCTCTCTCTCTCTCTCTCTCTTGCTTTCTTTGAGTATCGTGTCATTCACTACTATTTTATTACAACGACACAACGTAGCCTTTAGTAGCCAGTACATCTGATATAAAACCGATATTTTCATCCAAGAGAAGATTGCTGTTATGGGTCGACACTTGTCGAACAAAGTTCGATGCACCTTCGTGAGTAATATTAAAATAACAAATAAAAAAAAAACAAAATCAAACAACAATAGTAATAAGTTCTAGTCTTTTGAGGAATACTATATTTTACAAGTTTGAATAATCATTTGAGACCTTGTTTGTGTCGATTAATGATAAATGATTGCTTGGGTTTTTTTCTTTTTTTTTAATATTTATTCCTGTTAAATAATAAATAAGGAAATGGTGTTATTGAAGAGTTTTTTCTTTTCATCGATAATTTCTGATTTGTTTACTCATGTGATATGCTTGGATAAAAGATGTATAGACAGGTCAATAGGGAAGTTACTGATGAATTGGCATGAGAATAAATTTGTGTAAGATAAGAATGAATATGTCAGAGGTTTTTTTTTCTTCTTTGCCTTCATAGATCTCTTTTATAGATTAGGTCAAGAAAAAACTAATAGAAAAACGAATATCAGAGAATGAAGATCAATTACGTCTACCAAGAAGTTTGTGCGTGTTGACGTATATAGTAAAAGAAAGTTGATTATTGCATTGATTGTCAGATTGCATAATCAACCAACAATGTTCTGTATTTTTCATTGACATAGTCGATTGTTACAGTAGTTATGATACATTAATCTTGATCAAAGATGAAACAAGAATAAATTTGAATACAAAAGACAAGAAAAGAAAAAGCATAATAAAAAAAATAAAAACGAATTGAAATTTTATTGTTATCATATCATAAATGATGTGATTGAAAAAAAAAATTAATTAAATTAATTTCATTTTCTAGTCTGATGGAAATTCGGGCTTTTTACGAGCAGCGCGAGCAGGAAATCTTGAGAAGGTTTTGGAATACCTTCGTTCATCAATTGATATAAATACTAGTAATGCTGTATGTAAACATTTTATTCTTTGTTTATTCAAAAGTAAGAATAAAAAGTTTGTTTTCTTTTCTTTATTGTTCAGAATGGATTAAATGCACTACACTTAGCATCAAAGTATACTGAAGATTTTTCTTTTTTTTGTAAATTTTATCATATTTTATTTCATCAAGGGAGGGTCATGTAAATATTGTTCAAGAACTTCTTTCACGTGGTGCCAATGTCAACGCAGCAACGAAGGTCTTTCATATATATATATATTAATGATAATACTTATTCATTAATCATATCTTATGTTGTTTATATAGAAAGGAAATACAGCTCTTCATATTGCATCATTAGCTGGTCAGGAAGAAGTTGTTAAACTTTTAGTTAAACATAATGCTAATATTAATTGTCAATCACAAAATGGATTCTCTCCTTTGTATATGGCTGCACGTATGTTTTATTTAAAATATTGAAGAAATAGCAACAACAAAAAAAAAAATATCATTTGTAGAAGAGAATCATATCGAAGTTGTTAAATTTCTGCTCGCTAATGGCGCTAATCAAAGTTTAGCAACTGAGGTAACCTTTCTTTTGTTATTTTTTTTTAAAGCATAATTTTATTTATATTCAGGATGGATTTACACCTTTGGCTGTTAGCCTTCAACAAGGACATGAAAAAGTTGTTGCTATACTTCTAGAAAATGATTCCAAAGGTTCAAAAGTTCGTTTACCTGCATTACATATAGCAGCAAAAAAAAATGATACCAAAGCAGCTGCCTTATTATTACAAGGCGATAATCAACCAGATCTTAACTATAAGGTTTGTATTTATTTCTAACGATAAAAAGAAAAAATTTCATTTCTATAACAACCATGAAAATCAATAGGGAGGAGGTTTTGTTAATTGTACAACTAAGGTTTGTTTTCTAAATGTCTAGTTGGTGTCTGTTATATGTCGTTGTTTATTCTCTATTTGATGATGGTGGTGGAAATTATTGTGTTGTTTTATTTCGTCTGCATATTTATATATTTTTTTCTTTCTTTCAGCTTGGCAGAGTAAGCATTTATATAAATATATACATATAATTATCACATTACTAATAATAAGAATAGTTAGTTAAAGCCAAAACCAACACCACCAACACAGTTATTATTTTTTTTTTTGTGTGTTATGTTATAAAAAAAAAGAACCAGTATAGATTAATTTTGCATGATTATATTCAAATAAAAAAAATAAATAATTAATTAAATTTAAATATGATTATTGTTTTTTTTTTTTGCTTGTCTTTTTCTAGTCTGGTTTTACTCCATTACATATAGCAGCTCATTATGGAAATTTAGAAGTTGCACAATTATTAATTAGTCGTGGCGCCGATGTCAATTATGCAGCAAGTGTAAGAGACTATATAGAATTTTTTTTTTCTCCTACTATTTGAACTAAATATATACTTGAAGAGAAAATGAAATAACACTTGAGACTTGAAGTGTATATATTGAATTATTATTATTTTCTTTTTCAACGATGTTTTTATTGATTCATTCAGTTCAATTTGTATTTGTACGAAACAGATAAAAGAAAATGAAAATTAGCTAATGTAAAAATGTATGAAAGTACTCGAGGCTATTTCAGACATTCATCAAAATGTTGCCTGTAGGATATAGTTGATCTTAATTTTTAATAACCTAAATCTATATGTTAGAAAGAAATGAAATAAAGGATGATCAAAAAGTAATTAGATAATATATGGGTTCATTTTTTTTTTCAGAAACTTCTAGATTAAGTTAAAATCAAAATTTTATGTTCTTTTTTTTTGAATATGAATTCAAATTTTTTATAGAAGTTATGAATTAATATTTTAGAGATGTGAAAATTAAGTTTGCACAGAGAAAATGACCTAAATTGATACGATATTCTTTATCCGAAATATTCATTGTTGACAAATGACTTGCAGCAAACTAATTATCAATATATTATTTTATAGAGAAATGTTTGCATCTTTCATTCGGTTCTACTTTGAATAATTTTTAGTGTGTTAAAGTTCATTGAAATTTAATTTACACACCTCTAAATATGTCAATACAGAACTCGTATAAAAAATTTGAATTCATATTCCAAAAGCCAAAAAAAAAACAGAAATATAAAATTCTAATTCTAATCTAATCTGTAGGCTCTTTAAAAAGGCTAAGGGATGAATAGATATTTTATCTAATTACTTATCAAGTATCCATTATTATAGAGAAAAGAACAAAAGATGATGAATATTGTCTGAATGGTTTTTTTTCTTTCTTCTAGCAAAATATAACACCACTTCATGTAGCATCTAAATGGGGTAAAGCAAACATAGTACAATTATTACTTGAAAAAGGTGCACAAATTGATGTTAAAACAAAGGATGGATTAAGTAAGTTGAATGAATGTTTTGAATATCAAAAAAAAAGAAAAACAAACTAACAAAGGAATACATCCAACTGTTGGATACCGTTCGATTTCATATTATGGCTACAAGTAGATCTTGATAAGGCTAAGACAAGTTGAAAAAGATTTGGAATCCATGAGCTACTGATAAAGAGTTATGGCAGTTTAAATGAAACTTTTGTGGATGAGAGAATGTTTTCAACTAATCAATCGTTGCTGTATTCGGATTCTGTATAAAGGGTGTTTCATAATAACTGTCCCGGTTTTGTTAACAACAGTTTTTATACTTTTTTTGGACCGAGTGAGCTGAAATTTTTACCACATATATATCTATCCATGTTCTTTAATTTCTAAAACTTTTAGCTCTCTAGCTAAAGCTGTTGACGAAATCCATTGACTGGACTGAAGTGTATTGATTTTTACATTCGATTCCTGTAGTATTTTTTTTCTTGAGTAATGATTTTTATTAGCAATCGATAAAAGTAATTTTACAATACAATCTTTCTTCGAAAACGTAAGATATTACAAAATAATCAATGTTTATGAATATGTTCTCCATTATTGTCGATAATCAACTGTAATCGATAGGGTATTTCGTCCATCATTTTTTCACATTGTTCTTTCGAAAAATTTCGCCATTCTTTTTCAACTTCCTTTTCTAATTCTAAGACCGTGGCAAATACCTTCCCACGGAGCTTTTCTTTAAGTGCTCCCCACACATTTTCTATCCTCCAAACATCGGCAAATTTAGCATCGCCATCTGCTGGTTCTATACGTTCACCAAAAAGTTCTGCAACTGTCTCTCTTACTAATATTGTTCGTTGTTTTTGATCTTGGTCGTCGTGAAAAATAGGATTTAGTTTACATTCCCGAAATATGGTCTTGATTGCTGGAGCTGCCTTTTCTGTTAAAAATTTGGCGTACAACTGGTTTGTTAAATATACTCGTTTTCGTTTATCATGACATGGAGTACGTTGTTGTTCTAACCATTGAGTAACATTTATTGGTGCACGTGATGGTATTAGACCTTGTGATGATATTGCTCCCCAAAATATAATTCCTTTTTGAAATTTTTCCGTTTGTGCATTAATTAAGCCAGCTTCGATTTCTTCACCTTCTCTCGCCCACATTCCATCATTTCTTCTATTTTGAAAACCTTGAAAAGTGAATAAACCAGAGAAGTCGCAATTGACAATACGGTTCCATTTCCACTTGTTCGAATTTTTCCTAATACCAAATTTGGATCTTAATGCTTTTGCACATTTAACACGGTTCTTTTTATCAATATCGCTGAGTTTCTGTGATTTTTTCTTCTTATACCATTTTAAATTTAATGCTTTCACTGTTCGATAAATGGAAGTTTCCGATGATGTAAAACCTTGTCTTTTAAGTATGGCATCTGTTTTTCTAATAGAAGCATTTTTTTTCAATCGCATACATTTATCAACATTTTTACGAAATTCGGACGTTGTGACTGTTACTGGACGACCGGATCTTTTCTTGTCGTTAACGGTTTCTCTTTTTAATATTCGAGATACACATTTGTAAAGTGATGTGTACTTCAAATGTGGTGGATTATCAGAATTTTGAATAAAACGAGCAATACGACCAACACTCCATGTTGAGTTGAGACTTTTTAGATTCAATACAAAACTTCTAAAATTTTTCCTATCGTCGTAAGTGATGGACATTCGTGTTGAAATTCGTTGTTAAATATAACAAGCTCTACCCATAAATATACTTTTATATGGTTGTATTAAATCTTAGTCATTTCCAATCGGACGATGATGATATTCGCTGACGTCTTCGATTTCTTCTTTCTCTTACTCTTTTTTTCTCTCCCTTTTGTTCTTTTCTGTTTTGTCGCTCATACTCTGTTATATAAATTTGTCTGGATGTGTATATATCAGAGACATATTCTAGGGATGTGAAGCAGTTAATTAAATGTTCCTATAGAAGACGAAGGCAAAATAATTCCTACGATTTGTCGCTAAAATTCTATCATGATTAGTGATGATATGGAAATAATGCAGAAATCGAATGCAAAAATCAATACACTTCAGTCCAGTCAATGGATTTCGTCAATAGCTTTAGCTAGAGAGCTAAAAGTTTTAGAAATTAAAGAACATGGATAGATATATATGTAGTAAAAGTTTCAGCTCATTCGGTCCAAAAAAAAGTATAAAAACTGTTGTTAACAAAACCGGGACAGTTATTATGAAACACCCTTTATAAGGTAGACTCATCCTAGTATAGTGCCTATAACTCTGGAGAGAAAGTCTAAAGAGACTTATTCTTTTGAGAATTTCTATATCTTACTAGAGTTTATCTTTTGCATAGAATCCAAATTCAACAGCGATTGCTTAGTTGAAAACGTTCCCTCGTTGATAAAAGTTTCATTTAAGCGAAGCCATGATTCTTTATCAGTAGGCCATGGATCCTTTTAACCTTATCTTAGTCTCCGTAAGACCTATTCGTAATCATAATATGAAGGCGAACGGCGTCCGACAATTGTGTATATCCTCTCGTGTAAGACAAAAAAAAAAGACATTATTGACTTCTTTTAAGCACCTCTGCATTGTGCTGCTCGATCTGGTCACGACCAAGTTGTTGATTTATTACTTGAAAATGGTGCTCCATTTGGCGCAAAAACAAAAAATGGTCTCTCAGCACTTCATATGGGTAAATAGAAAAAAAAAAAACAACTAATCGATTTTTTTTTTGTTATGATTTATTAATAAATATTATTGATTTGTTTAGCTGCTCAAGGTGATCATGTTGATGCTGCACGTATTTTACTTTATTATAAATCTACCCTTGTCGATGATGTTAGCTCGGTTAGTTAATAGATTTAAATTATTTAAAATATTCGAAATTTATTTTTCTTCTTATTCAAAGGATTATCTTTCACCTTTACATGTTGCATCACATTGTGGTAATTATAATGTTGCTAAACTCTTATGTGAACGTCGTGCTGATGTTAATGCTAAAGCTTTAAATGGTTTTTCATGTTTACATATAGCATGTAAAAAAAATCGTTTAAAACTTGTTGAATTATTAATATCAAATGGTGCCGATTTAGAAGCTAAAACTGAATCGGGTTTAACTTGTTTACATGTTGCATCATTTGTTGGTAGTCATGATATTGTTATTTATTTAATACAACATGGTGCAAATATAAATTCTACAACAATACGTGGTGAAACACCATTACATTTAGCAACACGTAATAATCAAGTTGAAATTGTTCAAACATTACTTCGTCATGGTGCATCTGTTGATATGAAAGCTAAAGAAGCACAAACATGTTTACATTTAGCAACACGTTTGGGAAATATTGATATTGTTAATTTATTATTAAAAGCTAATGCTAATGTTGATAGTACAACAAAAGATGGATATTCAAGTTTACATATAGCAGCTAAAGAAGGACATGAAGAAATTGCTAGTTTATTAATTGATCATGGAGCTAATTTAAATTTATTTACTAAAGTAAAAAGAAAAAAATTTTTTTTTGTTTTTTTTTGTATTTGTTCTTTTTCTTTTTGTTTTTATAGAGAAATTTTTCTGCATTACATATTTGTAGTAAATATGGTAATATTAAAGTTGCTAATCTTCTTTTACAAAAAGGAGCTAAACCAGATTGTCAAGGAAAAGTAAATTATATATATTAAAAATACAAAAAAAAAAAAATCTTTTATTCAATAATTAATTTAATTTTTTTAGAA